CCCCAAAACCCCAAAACCCCAAAACCCCAAAACCCCAAAACTGCGAGAATAAATTGAATTAAATCCAATGGAAGCTCTTCAAATGGACAAACAAATAGACTCCCATACCTTCAAATTCGATGACATGGGAAACTGTCTGGACAACTACCAGATCAATGAAATCATCGGAGAAGGCTCCTTCGGTGAAGTATACTCAGCTATCGATCTCAACACTGGAGAGAAGGTTGCCATAAAGAAAATTGTAACTTAAAATTTTACCATTTACTCTAGACCGATTTGGACAATGATACAGTCGAATTAGTTCGAGAGATCAACATCTGTAAACATATGAAATCAAACCATATCGTTCAGCTCAAAGATGTCATCCCTATCTACAACAAGGAGTCCACGAGGAACGATATGCTTCTGGAAGAACTTTACATTGTAATGCAGCTGTCAGATACAGACCTACGAAAGTTGTCTAAATCTGAGACATACCTTACTACAGAGCAAGTCAAAAAGATCATGTATGAGATCCTCGCTGGGCTAGATTACATCCACAAATCTGGACTTGTTCACCGAGATATTAAACCGGGAAATATTTTAATCAACTTGGCTGACTGAAGTGCTAGAATTTGAGACTTTGGGCTTGCCCGAAGTCTCTCCAATTGTAAGAACACCGAACACATAGTCAATGACAAACTCCAGGAGGTTAAAAGCGACAGTGACGAGGAGATTAAAATCGAAGATGACAAACTAACTAAATCCCAATCAAAAGATAGAGCGAATATTAGTCGCCTCGAACCAAACAGGATTGACCTAATTTTGACTAAATAAGAAATCTTCAACACTCAGAAAAGGCTCTGGTGACGAAATTATAAAGAAGGAAATCCTCAAAGAAATGGAATTTAAGCAAAGGATTTCACGGGCCCTTCAAGAAACAGTGAAACAAAGAGAGGAAGGAGAGAGAGAACTCTCTCCTCATGTCGTCACTCGGTATTTCAGAGCTCCTGAGATCATCTTAATGGACAAGAATTACAACCAAAAAGTAGACATCTGGGCTTGCGGAGCTATCTTTTGTGAACTTTTAAAGATGAAAAAGGAGAATTGAGCTTCATTTTTATCAAGAAAAACATTCTTTAAAGGTAAATCCTGAGCTCCATTATCACCCTTGAAAAGGAGAAAATCGAGAAAGAAATCTATATGTGAAGTTGCTCTCGGTAGAGAAGGAGATAGTATAAAATTAGCAAAAGTAAACGAAAATGACCAAATGAATTGCATTCTCAAAGTCATAGGGACTCCCAATAACGAAGACTTGAGCTTCATGTCAAAGGCAAAGCAGAAAGCATTTCTCAACACCTACGGAAAATATCAAAAGAAGTCATTTAGCTCGATTTTCCCTGACGAGGACGAGAACTGAATCCATTTGCTCAATCAGATGCTAGAATTCAACCCGTTCTTTAGGCCAAGTGCTCACCAGTTAAGATCTCATCCATATTTTGCAGATTTACATGAAGACTACCTCAAGAAAAAGGCTGCAAAGAGTGGAACCACCAAGTCAGGGTCCGAAACTGATGACGAAATAGTGCAAGAGTGCATATTTGACAAGAATGAGAGGTTAACCCAAGTAATTCACCAGTACAAAATCGAGCAGAAAATCTTTAATTAAAACGAACATTTTTAAAAGCGAATAAAAATTATCACATTAATATTTTAGCTTCTCTCAGTTTTCAATTATTTTGAGGTGAAGTGGGGTTTTGGGGTTTTGGGGTTTTGGGGTTTTGGGGTTTTGGG